TTTCAAACTTACAAAAGATACGTAATTACTAATGGTACTCTAAAGCTAAGCCAAAAATATCTTACAAGCTCTGTTTTTTTTTCCCATCTGTTCTTTACGTATCCTAAAAATTTAATAGGTTAACTATTGGTGTAAGATTCTGGAGCCATGGACTTATACTTAACCACTGGTCTGATCCCCATTCGAGTCCCGGTTTAGGTAACTGCAGCTCTGGTAGGGGTACAACTCCACACGGAAGCTTCAATGATGAAGAAGGTTCCTTCCTCTCTGTTTCTCTTTGTTTCTCTTCGTTCTTCGCATTCTCGGTATGCCCTTGAAGCATTAGGTTGTTGTTATCTTCTTCCATGGCTACGACGTGAGGAAAGGGGAACGAAGTCATCATCATGTCTTCTTCTTTTCCAACGAAAGAAATCGTCTCGGAAGACGAAAGAGGAGATGTTTGATTCATCTTAGCCTCCTTCTCTGCTCTTTGCTCCAATACTTTGAGAGAAGTAGCCTTCCTATATATCTTACACAGCACAACGTCCTGCGATCAAGACAAGATGAGAAACAGAGTTGTTTCTTGATCACATGAATACAGAGCTTTTGTTTTTTAAGATACCTTTGGTAAGGGGCAATTGTCAGGCATCCGGTACTCGTTCATGACCCAATCAGTCTTGCTTCCTCCCGGTGCTCTTCCTCTATAGAACACAAGTGTCTTCTTGAGCCCAATCACACGTTTTGGTTCAGACAAGCTTATGATTTTACGATCTGATCCGGTTGCTTTCCAATATCCTTTCTCAGTTGTCCGGCTCGGCCTCCCTCCGTTCCCATGCTTCCTTTCCCTTGGCACAAAGAAGTACCACTCTCTCTCACCGATTCTCGATAAACCTGTGAATCAAAATTTAGACTTTTAACACAACCTAGAGGGTGACAAAAAAAAGCTTTTGAGTAAATGGAGAAGCTAGAAAGTACTTACGAGGTAAGTCCCATGGATCATGACGATAGATGTTGAGGAAACCAATGACTTCGACTTTCAATGTCTTCCCGAAAACCATGTTCTTGAGGTAGAAATCAAGAAGCTCTTCCTCGGTCGGGTGGAATCTGAAACCGGGGAGATCAATCTCTTTTGACATATTTCTCACTATCAGTTTGGTTATATTAAAAGATGTGTAAGTGAAAAGGTTGTTGGTGATATCACTTAGGTGATGCAATGCACATTTATATATAACAACACTTAAAGAGTCTAGGACCCAATGTGTTGAGAGAGAGGAGGATATTGCTTTTGAGGGAGCAGACCAAGTCAAGAATAAGAATATGTGGAGAGGCATGATTTAACAATTGAATTTTGAAAGTCTTTTGTGAAATTTTTTCTAATGTGTGTTTTTTCTTTCATATTTTAGAGGTTTGTGATCTTTACTTAGAAAGAGAAGCGTCTTGATCAAAGTGGGTGTGGAACCCACACGCTTTTATCTTGAGAAGGTTAGAAAGAGTCATGAGGCTTGGTGCCTTTGTTTTGTTCTCTGTGTTTTTGTTTTTTTTTATAAATTTTTTAGTTATTATTGTTTGATCAAATATTTTAGTTATTGCGAAAAAGAAAAAAAAGAATCAAACATTTCTGATCGTGGGACTTCCACCATTTTGTTTAATCACACTTTGACTTGAGAAGTTTCCTCCAAAGACTGGAAGTCTTTTGCCTATGTGGGGCAAACACCTTGAACTC